ATTTCAATTATGATAAATAACTTTTTCAAGCTTTTTTAGTTTTGCCTGTCTTTACTCATGTAAGCTAATGGTTCAACTTTATGTGAGATACAGTATTAATTTACTTTATTAGATTTTCATTTAATTAGAATGTGTTTCGCCATTATCTCATACTTACAAAAGTGATTTTATATTAATCTCATAATTATAAAAATGGAAGTTTAAGTTTTAGTTTTTTTTCAATGACAAAGTGCTCATGATGATAGAATTATATTATATATATATATATATTAATTAAATATTCCTGTTATTATATAAAAGAGAAGATTTAGTTTAAGTTTTTTCATTGTTATAAAAATGTTATAATTTGCTAATATTGATCTCAATAACATTATAAAAAAAGATTAAAGTTTTAGTTGTTTCATTGTTATAAAAGTGATATTTTATCTTGCTTTCATTATAAAGATCTATCTGTCTAAATGTTTGCAATATAAAGGTGCCAAATATTTGATTTTAAGAATTAAAAACAATCTGATTGGAATTTTATAGTTTTTTATTTAATAATTCTTCTCAATCACCTGAAAAAGATCCGTAAAAGATCCGCGTGAAAAGTAACGGACACGGATACGGATACGGATTTTTCTTTTATCTCGGATATCCGCGGATACGGATACGGATACGGATATTCGGAACATCACTAATAATAACATAAATTATTATGTAGGCTGATCACCTGATTGTCCGACAAGATAGATAATGCGTGCTGTCGGAGAAGTACGTAAATAAGTCGGTCCTGCGCCTAATCTCTCGCCGGTCTTGCTAGTCTACCATCCCGTCAGGTTATGACAGTGATAAAATAGTAGGTGCAATTGTGTATTGCGCGCTTACTTGGGCACAATAAACAACTCCCGCGCAGTTAGCTGGTTTCGATGAGCCCAGTCGCCGTGCCAGAATATCGGGTCAAATATCTGTTATTATTATTACTACACCGTCAGTGCTTGATTTATAACTCACACTTGGCGAATTGGTTTTTAATTAGATAAGATACCTATGCACCTTTTTTATTTTTTAGAAAATCATTCATCTGAATATCCAACTGGGAATATTGATCAAGAACTTGTATCACCAAGTGTAATCCAACGATCTACGAAAGTGAAACAGTCTTACGACTTAAGAGGTAGTTAATATGAATAGTTTTATCTAGCGATGTAACGATACCAATACCGATATATCGGTCGATATAATCGGTAGGCCGATATATCGGCATCGCCGATACAACACGGCCGATATCAACCAGTTCGAAAAGCGCGCGAAACGAACGACGCGTGCGACGTTGCCGCTCTTAGCGTCGCCTCGCGTCATCTCAACAGTCGCTTGGGCCGGCCAACACACTGTCCTTCGGCCCGGCCCCACCCAGTGCTTGCTAAGCTTTGGTTGAGACATGTCGTGTTTCTGTTTACGTTACGTCGCCGCTTTTATTTCGTGATTAATTTTGTTTAATTATTAACACTGACTAGTGAGGACTGTTATAGTATTTATTGTATATAAAAGAAAATGGCAACGCCATTAAAACGTACAAGTTCCATCTGGAACCATTTTCAAATAAAACAGGATGATGATACAAAAGCAACTTGTTTATACTGCAATGTCAGCGTTTCTCGTGGTAGTAAGGCAGTTTCATCGAAGGGCTTTACGACATCTAACATGTGGACACACGTGAAGCGTTATCATGAAAAGGAGTTGAAAAACGACACCCCATCTACCTCGACCGCTGAGGCCGGTTCGCCACTCAAAAAACAAGCTACTTTGGAACACATTCTGGACAAAAATGTTATGTATGATACTGATGACCCCAGAGCAAAAGCGATCACGCAAACGATAGCTGAACAAATATGTGTAGATATGTAGCCGTTCGATATAGTAAATAAACAGGGGTTTCAACGCACCATTAAGCAGTTGTGCCCGAAATACAAAATGGTTTGCCGTCCACATATCTCTGAAAATGTGATACCAGACATGTACTGTCGTGTGAAATCGAAAATAAAAGAACTTTTGCAAGATATTCCGCACATAATTGTTACGACTGACTTATGGACTAGCGACGCTTCTGCGTTTGTAAACGACTTTATAAGTCTGACTGCTCATGGAGTGAATAACAATTTTGAGCTAAAGAACTACTGTCTAGCGGTATTTCCTTTTGAAGGCGAAAGACATAGCGGTGAAAGTTCTTGAGCAGCGAGTTGCAGTTCAAGCATCTTTACCCCATGTGAAATGTAGAACTGAATTGGCTACACAAGAGTGGGTACTAATGGAACAGGTTGTCTCAGCGTTGACTTATTTTGAAGAAGCAACAAAGTCTGTTAGTCAAGAGTCTGCTTGCTTATCTAACGCCATACCGCTTATCAACAGTTTGCGAAGAGTCTTAGAACGTATCAAGAACACCACGGCAATGGATGATAATGCTTATAGCCCTGAATATAATGCTCTTATACTGCATTTGATAGCTGGGATCAATGATAGATTTGATTATTTAGAGAATGATGAAACATTTATTTTAGCAACAGCACTAGATCCGCGCTATAAATTGCGAACGTTTACTCTGCAAACTACAAGCATGAATGCGAAAAGTATGCTAATTTCATTAATTACAAATAATACATACACAGAGAATCCTCATTCTACAGAGGCGCCGCGACAAAGTCAAAACGAGATTTTCTCGGGTATCTGGTCTGCTTGTGATAGTTTGATAAAAGAAGCCAAGGACGACGAGCCTTTATCAAACATGTCTATTCAGCCTGAGCAAGAAGAGGTAGAATCTTATTTAAGATTTCCAAACATTCCAATCAAACAAGATCCAAAGATCTATTGGGGCCAAGAAGATAAATATCCAAAATTAAAAAATCTTGCACAAAAATACTTGTCTTACCCAATGAGCTCAGTTGCTTCAGAACGTCTCTTCTCAACAGCAGGACTGATACAAAATGATTTGCGTAACAGATTATCTGCTGATAATTTGAATAAACTTTGTTTTCTTAACAAAAATCTACCAAAAGTAGACTTTAATTACTGACATTATGTAATCTTTTTAAGTTAATAAATATGTGATTGGTTTTATTTAAAACTAATAAACGATGATTCTAATTCCTTTTTTTAAATTATTTTTGGTATTTCATCCTTAGGAAATAAATAACTTTGAAGAGAGACAGATGTACGTCTAGGTATTTGTAGTGTCAATATTTTATCAACTTCCTTCAAATTTGTTTAACATACACAAAACGCTTAACTACTAACCCATCAATATCGGTATCTGTATCGGTATCGCCGATTATTTTTCTTTAAAATCGGTATCGGTATCGTATCGGCAAAAATATGTATCGTTACATCCCTAGACTTTTATCATCTACTAGCCACTCTGTATAAAACATAATTTTTGTTTGTTTGTTTATTTATTGTTGTTTGTTGAGCGTGCACCCAGGAAGGTTTCTCATGGAAAAAAGCATTGCAACGCATAACAGTACTGAATAGACTAATAATTATTCCAAACCTTCATATTTCACCCAAATAATTTCATCCCTTGAATGTGATTAAATCACAAATCTATCAGTATAGTAGTAGTAGTAAACTACACTAGTGGTATTAGTTAAGTAACTAAGTAATTTATATATTATCGTTGCAGATTTAAAAAAACAATATTACGATGAACGTGATAAAGAAAACGAAGATTACTCTACAGATGCCTCTTCTGAGTATTTACCAAGCCCTAACCGTGTAATCCAAACACCAAGCTCCACTTCAAGTTTTGGAGGAGACTCAACTTGTATAGAAAAGCTAATTGAAACCAACAATAAGCTTTGGAGTCCATCAGTAGTTTCTAATTTATCCTTCATTTTAGATAATAATGTGGACTTTGTTGCTTCTCCCACTGCTATTTACAAATTTGCCGAGGCCCCTAGAGTTATATTGGAACAACCCTCAGACGATCATGACAATCGATCTAAAGCACCCCTTCTTACACCATCACGCCAAGAACACCAACTAGAAGAGAATTCAGGAGACGAGACATTAAAATCGAACAATGGAGATAGTACTCTGAACCCAAATGAAACATTAGTTGAAAACAGTCCAAGTATACTAGGTCTTACAGCAGAAGATGACAATCTGCATATTCTACAGAGAATAGAAATGGATCAAACAAGAATAACCACAACAGTATTTAATTGTGAATTAAGTAATTGTCAAGACATGGAAATAGGTCAAGAAGTCCCGCAGATTAACGATACCTATATAGAAAGAAAGAAAGAAAGAAAGAAAGAAAAACCATTTATTTTGCTACGACACACAACAAAAATTTAGAAACACCGAAAAAAAGCCCATAGTGCGTCGCAGCGCAAAAGGCTGGAGCTCAGCTTAATACCGTGGTCCGGGTGGTTCAATCAAATGAATTGTCTTCTTTTGATCAAGAAAATCTACAAACAGAGAATGTGCCTAATGAAGAATTTGAACCTTCTGTAACACAACAATCTCAAATAAACAAAACATTAAGTAGAAAACGAGTTTGTAACATGGATGAATGGAAAAATAAAAAAAACAAAGCTTTGAAAAACTCTGGAAAATCTTACGAGGGGGTTCGTTCTAAAAAAACTTTCGATGCAAAAAAAATTGGACCACCATGCAAGCGTAACAAAAAGTGCGCAGAAAAATTTACTACTGAACAAAGAGAAAGTATATTTCAGACCTTTTATCAACTCGGGAATCACGAACTTCAATGGCAATATATTGTTCGACACACAGATGTTAAACCTGTAAAGCGAATAACTTTAGATAGAAAAAACAACAGAACACAAACCATAAAATACTCATTTCCTTCAGACGGCTTAAATAATAATATTAACGTTTGCAAAACATACTTTTTAAATACGATAAAAATATCCGAACAAACCGTTTATACCACATTAGAAAAAATAAAAAGAGACGAAAGTTTAATCGACAAAAGGGGAATTCATAAAAACAGGCCCCATAAGATGAGTGATTCTACGAAAGAAAGCGTGATGGCGCATATTAATATATTTCCTGCTGTAGAATCCCACTATGTCAGGAAAGATATAAAGCGACTCTATTTATCAGAGCACCTAAACATTTCTAAAATGTACCGATTGTATGAACTCTGGTTCCCCAATCAACATTATTCTGCAGAACACAAGGCTACAAAGCGGCATTATGAATATATTTTTAACACGGAGTTTAATTACTCGTTCTTCAAACCAAAGAAAGATTTATGCGGAACCTGCTCCCAATTTTATCAAGCTAATGAAATAACCAAAGTTAGTCTAGAGGCTAAGTATAGGGAACATTTGATGAGAAAGAATAAAGTGCGCCAGTTAAAAGAACAAGAAAAAGCTGCAGTGGATGAAAGAACCACAACTATCGCCATTTTTGATCTAGAAAAGGTCCTCAGTATCCCTCAGTCTGAAGTGGGGATTTTTCACTATAAAAGAAAATACCCCGTTTATAATTTTACTGTCTACGACTCACTGCGAAAATTTGGTAATTGCTATGTCTGGCATCTGTCTATTGCCAAAAGAGGATCGATTGAAATCGGCAGTTGCTTACTGAAGTTCATCGAGCAAGAAGGTCTCAAAGGTATCAAAAATGTATCTTTTTATTCCGATGGCTGCGCTGGTCAGAACAAAAACAGGTACATTTTTGCATTATACCTTTATGCCATAAGAGCTTATGACTTAGAAAATATAACCCATCGATTTTTTGAGACTGGCCACGGCCAGAACGAAGGTGATAGCATGCATTCATGCATAGAAAGGGCAATGAAAAATAAAGTTTTATATACTCCTGACCAAGTTTACAGCATCATCATGAATGCAAAAGTAACTGGAAATAAATATAAAGTCCATGAGATGAAGCAGCGTGACTTTTACAACATAAAAAACCTTATTTCTGGGAAACACTGGCTAAGAGACACTCACGGAAACAAAATAAAATGGGCAAAAATAATGGAAGTGAAGGTATCACGTTTTAAACCTACTATTCTCCAGTTCAAGTATAACTTCGAAGAAGAGTATCTGGAACTAGACACGGAGTTACAAATAACTAGACCCAGGCGAGGGCGAAAAGCGACAGCCTCAATTGCAGCAGAAGCTGAATCAATCAATTTGCATTTGAGACAAGCTTATGATCAGCAAATACCTATAAGTAAAGCGCTACATGCAGATTTATTAAGTTTGTGTACTAGTGATGACATTTTTTTATAAACTTTCTGTTTATAGTATTGGTGTTACTTATATAACAACACTTGTTCACGTTTTCTATTAATAATATGAAAATCCATGGTTTAAAGCAAATGTGAAACCAATGCACGATTTGCAAAATCATTCAATGTTTTAATCTGCAAATTATTTCTATTAATGTTATTAGAAACTTGTCCCAAGTAACTGTCCATGAGGTCAACTCCCCCATGTGCATATTATATTCTTGTACCACGGAGGGTTCTTTAGGGCATGGGACGTAAATTTTCTGTTTCAGTTTTTTATCGAACCGGTGCACTTTACCTGCTGGTTCGGCACCAACATACGTAGATAATAAAGTTACTACCTTATTATCCTTCCAAACAGTAGCTGAGAAGTCCACGCCATCGTGATGAGCCACTTTTTCTTCGTAGGTTCCTCGGGGGACAGAAGTTTTCATGAGCGTCTCTTTATCCGGAAGTCGACAGTTAGGTAAACGGTTTTGCTGGACAGTACCGACACAGTGGATACCCTGCTTGGACAAGTAGTAGGCCAAAGGCAAAGAGGTGTAGAAGTTGTCAAAATATATGATGTGATTTTGCTTCCGCGGTTCTACGCTGATCAAACGCAAGTCCACATTGTTTGTGATCCCTAAATCAGGTTCGTCAGCTGGCTTGTCTTTGGTATTGTCTTGTCCAGAATAGACTTCAAATCAAACCGGTAGGCATAACCCATCAGGCTGCATAGTTACAAATAGTTTGTTACCCCACTGGACAAAGACGATTGGTATATCGACTCAGGTGCTGCAATGCACATGTCCAGATGTTCTGACTGGATGTATGATATGGAAGCATCTCCGATTCTGTCTCTGTGAAAAATATGGGTAAAGTAAACATTCAAACCACATTTTGCAAAGATGAATATCCAATCCAGGTGAGAAATGTTTTATATGTTCCTGAGTTGAGCGTAAACTTGCTATCAGTTAGTCAATTAGCCAAAAATGGTTGTAAAGTAGAATTTACTGATATGGGCTGCAATATATATAATCCCAATAAGATGCTTATAGCCAATGCAAGACTGATCAATAACATGTATAAACTTAACACTGTTTCTGTGCATGCTTATGCTGTTACTTGTGAAAGTAAGACAGATATTATTACATGGCATAAAAGAATGGGGCATTTAAACTTTGCTGATGTAAAGAGGTTAGAATCCTGTGCTGAGGGTATAACTATCACAGATAAAAATGTTGATAGCGTTTGTATACCATGTTGCGAAGCTAAACAAACACGCTTACCATTTCCACAATCCGGTTCAAGAGCAAATGCATTGCTAGAAATAGTACATACAGATCTATGTGGTCCGATGGAGACACCATCTGCAGGTGGTGCGAAATACTTCATAACTATCATAGATGACTATTCCCGTAAAGTATATGTTTATTTTCTTAAGAACAAGATGGATATTAAGTCTGTGTTTCAAAAATTCAAACAAGAAGTAGAAAATGAGTGATTATATAGTGAAAAAAATACCCATAACTAACAATAAAACGTACATAATACATTAATTATAGTTATATAATATATAATATAAACAGACGAAAAAAAGGTCAGGAAAAAATCATACTTATTCCATACTAATAATATTTTATGCCAATTTCCATGATGATGTAGTACTACATCATAAACAAAAATGATTATTTTAAGCAGGCAGGGGTAGGCAGAGGTGCACATTATACCACTGTACAATGTAACACCCACTTTTCACTATTTATGTTATGAGTCCCATGTAATAGGGGGTGAGCATATTGCCATATACCGGGCACAGTTCCAGACTCCGTGCTACTACTGAGAATTTTTTAAAACCCAGTAATACTTTGCCCGACCCGGGAATCGAACCCGAGACCCCTTGCTCGGCAGTCGCAATTGCGACCACTCGGCCAACGAGGCAGTCATTATTTTAAGCAAGTTACAATGCTATTTACAAAATGCTAATACAATACCATTTCTACATACCTGTGTGATGCTGGAAACTATTTTTGTATATTTTAATTCAGATTTTTTGCAAAAAAAAAACATCCATTGCAACTGTGTCGAAGACCGAAATTTGCAATTTGGCGCCAAAAATCTTTTCACGTTTATGTCATGTAAGAAAAAAAATGTCTATGGCGATAAGGTTTACACGTGTCAATTAGACCTTTGACAATAATTAAAAAAAAAAGCAAGTAGGTGGGGTTGCTAGATAAAAATATATTCGACGAAAAGTAAACCGATGTAATATTACATCATTATGCAGGTAAGGGTTAAGACTCGGTTCGACAGATCGGCGAAGTGCGGGCCGAAGCGCCACCTGCTATCCAGGATGAGGCCCAGATATCTCATCTGGACTGCGATTTTCTCGCCATCCACGTAAATGTCGAATGCGTCAGGAGAACGACGCTGCCTCGGGCCATGGAGAACACGGCTTCGGTCTTGTGCAGCGCCACTGTCAGCCTCAAACGATGGATCTTATCGGCAACCAGGGAGCCGCCTACCGATGCCAGGCTGGCCGCCGACGTGAAGCTCCCGCGGGCAGTGAAGAGAGTGTCGTCCCGTGGAGGAGCGTTCCCCGCAGGAGCCAGTCGAAGCTGACGTTCCATAGGAGGGGTCCTAACACCGACGGAACGCCGGTCTCCACGGCGTAGCACCGAACCTCCCCGTCTCGATCCACGAGGAGTACAGCCCAGGAGGCCCCGAAGATATTGAGGTACTCCGTGGAATAGGATGGTGGAATGGAGGACGAAGTTGAACGTGTAGTCTTGCCCCTTCTTCTACGGCCTCCTGGACCTGGCCCTTGAGGCGAGCTAAGGCGGCAGTCGACCGCTGGGCTCGAAAGCGATACTGGGCGTCGCATCGGACAGGTACGGCCCCACGCACGTCAGGTGGCGATTGAGACGGGCAGCTATGATCCCCTCGAACATCTTGCCGACCTCATCGAGCAGAACGATGGGCCTGTATGCCGAGGGGGACTCCGCCGGTCGTGTTTTTCTTGTAATAAGATGGATTTAGGTTATACTAACGTTGAGAAAATGGAAATTGAATTGATTGATACAAAACCTTTTGTTTACAGACCATATAGATTATCTTATCCCGAGAGAGAATTAGTGAAATCTATAGTACAGGAAATGCTCGCTGCAGACATTATAATGTGAACCCAACTCAGCATATGCTATCCCAGTTCTCCTCGTTAAAAAATGGGGACAAGACTTTGTAGACTATCGTGCACTGAACAGAAAAAACAAAAAGGAGCATTTTCCCTACCACTGATTGATGATCAACTAGATCGATTAGATGGTCATTCATTATTCATTGGTTTAGATTTTAGCATATATCAATTAACGGTCGGAGAAAGCTCCCAGAATAAAACGGCATTTGTTACTCCGGATGGCCAATATCAAGTTAAGATCGCCGTCAGTCTTTCAAAGAACCATGAACAAAATACTAGCTAAAATAGATTATATCATTGTTTACATGGACGATATTTTAATCCCAGCGCGCACTTTCAACGAAGATTTAAAAAGACTTGATGAATTTTGAGTGTCTTCAATATTTTGATTACAAATCTTACTCTAAAGTTAGAAAAATGTTTCTTCTTTTATACACAGATCGATTTCTTAGGCTTTGAGGTAATCGGGTCGGGTATAAGGCCCGCTTCTCGTAAAATAACTGCAGTATCAAACTTGCCGACTCCAAACAATGTTCATGACGATAGGCGCTTTATATGGTTAGCCGGGTTTTTCCGACGTTATGTAAAGGATTTTTTTCTAATTGCACATCCGTTAACAGATCTGTCGAGGAAACATGTTACATGGAGATGGTCTGCAGAACAAATGACAGCGTTTGAAACCCTGAAACAGAAATTACTTGCCATGTTTATTTACTTTTATTAGTTGATGTATTTATTTTATGACAAAGGAAGGTATGTTGAGGGAGATATTTGAGAAATACAAATATTCCCAACAACAGTTGAGTGAGCACCTGCTTGTGGCCTCTGAGCTGATGGATTTGGTGAAGAACAACGCAGAAAGGTATGAATCCTTAACAAATAACCTAGAATGCAGTTGTGTGAATCAACCTCAGACCCCGGAGGCTTCACTTTTGCTACCTACTCAAGTTGCAATAAATACCCTACCAAATAATACAGCAAATTATAAAACACATGTCTACAGTGATGAATTAGGTTCTGGATTTGGCCAAATGCTGTATGGTCATCTTAATCAAAGTTTTATAAACAACAGTTACCACAACATGAGTTATAAAAATATTATTAAACAAATAACTCATGCAGATTTAAATGAAAAGTCAGTTTTAGTTTTAATGTTAGGTAACAGCTTAGGAGTAACAAGAGGGGACATTGTGAACGGTGTGGACACCTTGTTGAACTTGAACATAGGGAAGATAATATTGTGTGCCTTCCCATATTCTAATACTTTACCACATTCTAAGAACAAATACATAAGTGTACTAAATAATACACTACACCAAATGGCATGTCACAATGACAGACTTTTATTTTTTGACACTAATAAATTTATTAGTACTTTTGTTTTTACAAAGAAAGGTATACACCTTTCAAAAAAATGTCGACATAAAATTGCTATGCTGATAGCATATAATATTAACACTGTTATACCTTGTATAACAGAAAATAGTTTTAAGGACGAATCTGTGTTGTCTAGAGTGTCTAACAGCACAGAGGCACATTTTAATTTAAGTTTAAACTAGATTTTAAGACAACAGAACATACCTTCATAAATCATATAAATAATAAGGTATATTCTGGCAAGGAAAAAGCACAGAACAATTATACACAGGGGCAGCACAATCTACAATTATTTTATATTAACATTCAGGGCTGCTCCTCAAAAGTCTTTGAATTAGAGATGTTTCTGGAAAAGACTAAATTTGATGTAATTTGTCTATCAGAACATTGGTTTAAGGAGGACCAACTAATATCTTTAAATTTAGATAATTACAATGTAGTTAGTA